ACAGTAGAGAGCGACGACAAAGTTGAAGCTGTTCTTCATCTTCTTCGTAAACATTCTCCTCTCACTCTTAAACAGGTTTGTTTACTAGCCCCAGTAATCTTTTCATTAATTAGCTACTAAGTTTTTTTTAAAAAAATTATTGTTGATCGGGTTAATTAATAATACGGCAGGAGAAGTTCTGTAACAGAGCTTGTGTCAGTAGATTCTTGAGAACAAAAGGAGACAATGTGAAGAGAGCAGCTAAACAGTTAAGGTCTTGCCTTTCATGGAGATCTTCTCTTGGCATCGGTATATTATCTCTCTCTTAACTTATTCGTGTATATTTGTAGATATATGTACGTAATGTGTTTTATGTTTGATATATCATATATATGTATATATTATAACCTTGAATGTTTTTTTTTTCTCACGGTGTTCATGTTAATATAGTTTAATACATATACATATTTATTCGTGTACTAACATGCGTAAGTTACATTTTCAGAGGTCCAAAGCTTTATTCAGTAAACGGTTAAATTTTAAAAAATTATAAAAAACGAGGATGAAAACATAAAGCTCAAAGTAAGCATGGTGTAGTGTGTAGATAGATGGTAGATTTGTTAGTGGCTATAGTTTTGGTATTTGTATTTCTTTTGTGTAATTAGAACAGACGTTTCGTTGCTTTTTCTCGGGTTTTGATGTGTCCCATGTTTGAACATCGAGCGTTAAAGTGAATATCCACTCATTATGACACCCACTTATTTTAACCTCTTCTATTTAAATTTTCAAGATTCAGTTTTAGCTTTTTCTTTTAACATTTATTTTATATTATGAATCTGTGATATATTACAGAAAGCTTAATCGCCGACGAGTTCACGGCGGAGCTTGCTGAAGGTCTTGCCTATGTCGCTGGTCTTGACGACGAGTGTAGACCTGTTTTGGTAACTTAATGTTTCTCACCTTATTTTACTTTTTTTATGATTTTGTTATAATATCACCAAAAACCTAAACTAATTAATTGTTTTCTCTTAGGTTTTCCGCATTAAACAAGACTATCAGAAGTTACATACACAGAAACAGTAAGTATAAACCACCTATATATTCAAATAAAAACATTAAAATCAGATATAAGAAATTCTCAAAATTAATCTGTATTGTTTTGTTTTAATAGGTTGACTCGTTTGGTGGTGTTTACATTGGAGGTGGCAATCTCAACCATGTCCAGGAACGTAGAAGAATTTGTCATCCTCTTCGATGCTAGTAAGTTCGATCCTCTATCATTAGTTATGTAGTTTTTTTTTTCTGAGCAGCTAGCTATAATGATTTTTTTTTTTGAACACCAACTAGTTATGTAGATTCTATTTAGGAAAACAAGGTTTCTTAAAAAAAAAGGAGAAAAGTAAGAAAAATTCAGAAAGTATAAGTATCTATTTTGGGTTTGTCTTTTATCCTCAATGGTAACATTCTCACGGTGAGTGAATATGAAACACAAATATCTAACTTTAACCAAAATAAGCTTGGTAAAAATTGGGGACCGGAACATGTCGGAACTCCGGCAGGAAAGTGGGAGAGATAGGGACCTCAAATGTCCGTAGTGTCCTTGTTTAGTCACGGTCACACGAATCATAGTCTCAATTATCGAGGGTATTATCGGCATTAAATTATGTCAAGCTTCTACAGAAGTTGAAGTACTTCTCAACTCTGAATAGTACTCTTGAGCTTTTCATTAAATGTTCCTCTTTTGATCCTCTGCAACTCCAATAATACACCTTCCATTTTTTTAATTTTTTTTAATTTAATATTATATCAAAATATTGAACAAACAAACTGTACACACTTGTGTTCATAGTATTTAGCCATTAAAAAAAAAAACTTATTCTACAAATGCTAAGCTAATATTTCTTCAACATTTTGAAATTGCAGGCTTATTCAAATCAGCATCAGCCTTCATGAACATACTTGTGACTACACTCAGAATAGTTGCAGAGTATTATCCTTGTCGTCTTTACAAAACTTTCGTCATCGACCCTCCCTCTCTTTTCTCCTATCTTTGGAAGGTGATTAATTTGACATTTCCTTTATATTATTATATACTAAACACAACGGTAGTTGATTAAAAAAAAAACATAACGGTTAACTATATACATCCAAGTTTTTGAAAATTTGAGTATAGTTAGTAACATAAGTCAAAGTGTTAGTTCACCTATCTAAAGTAACGTACGAACGTAACATCAAGACTTTTAAGTTTTAACTGATCCTCTAAGCTCACGTGTAGGGTGTTCGTGCATTCGTGGATCTGTCACCGACCACGACGATTGTCTCAATGTTAGACTTCCAAGACTCGTTTGACTACGACGAGTTCTCTTCATCTTACCCATCACGAGTCTCCTCCCTACGTTTCGACAAGTCACCACCAAAACCAACGGACAAGATCAGCTCCTCCGCATCCTCTAGGTTCGCCTTCACCGTGTCCCGCGACGGCCTCGACACGGTCAAACCGTGGTGCCTCACTCTCACCGACACGTCATCCTCCAAACTCGGACACACGAGCGCGTACATCTCACCGCTCAACGCACGTTCTTTCTCCTTCGCGTCACCCGCGGCTAGGCGCGAGCCTATGGATGCACCAAGGAGAAGCTTCTTCGCTTCCACGCCGATGCCAGCTAGGACGAAGGACCGTCACTCTATAGGAACAACCCTCCGTGACCCGCGGATACCTACTCGACCGTCTTTCTTCCAGTCTCCGGCGGTGTTTTTCCGGCGAGAGTCGTCGCATGTTAGTAAAACTGAGAAGCCGAGAGATTCGTTCGTTCCTTTTCTTAAGTTCTATCGTAGGCCGTACGATGAGATGACTTATAGGTCAAAGATGCGGCCCCCACTTGGTGGTCTTGTCTCTATTGTTTCTAGCCAGATCAGACGTCGCCACGTGTCTTTATCTCAAAGGTTCTAACTCATGAAGCTACCTCTTAAAGAAGTACGTAGTATATAACTTTTGTTACCATTTTGTGGCAATTTTTATTTTAAGAGTTATCCATTATTGTTGTTTTACTATCATATGTATGTTTAGTTCGTCAAGATGTATTTCTAATAATTTTGATCAATTGTTTATTTATTAAGCAACTTTTTTTATTGGTTTAATTTATTCAAGTATCTAAATTGTTCCAATTTTTTTTTGAACTTCGAATGTGTCGTAGCAAGTTTCTGATTTGAATTTCAACACTTTAGTAGCTTTTTTAATACATGATGATTCTAATTAATAATTACCATGGCCACATTTCGGGATAAGCATGCAAAAAAGTCTTCGTTTTGAAGAAAAGACAACGTGGTCGTGACGGAGAATGGCTCTTTTGGGAAAATTCAAATGAGAAAATGCGATGTGGCCGTTGTTTCTTTATTTGTTATGGAGATACAAGTACCTACATGTGACCCCATTATTTACTAATCATAAAATAAACAAAAAGCAAACCGTTGACAAATTATCTCATAGTAGTTAAAAACTTAAAAGAAAGTGTAAACAGTTAAAAGTTTTTAGTTTATTTTAGCTAAAAGAAAAATAAAGAGACATTTGATGTTCTTAAATCCATTTCACTAACCATGCATAAGAAAGCTTGTTTATGCACTTTAATTGAAATATCCCTTAGAATTTTTTACTTTGTTTCTTTGTCAAACCTACTTAGTTATTTATTGAGGACCTCGTAAAAGCTGAGCTACATATATAAACTTAACCCTTGCATTTTAACTTTGTTTATTTGTCAAAATAATTTCAAATTGAAGGTAAAAGGATTCAGATATGTAAATAAGCCATAGAGATTATGGGTTTGACATTACTTTATTCAACTAGTTTCAATCTTTGTTAGGAATATGTGTAAACTGAGTAAGTGTATACTGTTATAATTGATTGAAAAGGTCAAGGTGGACTTTCTTCTGTTTTGTAGTGGTTGTGTGTATATGCATGGGGGATGCATTATAATATAAAGTGTACTATTATCAGCAAAATCATACTATTAAGATACTTTTATATCTTCATAGAGAAATGCGTATTATGTCTTGGAGCAATTGTCTTCATTGCATCAAGGTTTATTGAAAATCACATTTGTGAAGTGAGATGACGTAACCTGGGTTAGGCATTTTCTTTTTGGAAGTATGTATATGTATTTTAATCCAAGTATATATACTTATTTTCAGAAAGTTAAATTAAAATGGCCTTTACTTGCATAATTTTCGGGGTCATTTTCTTTTAGTTTAACTGTTGATATGTGTGTCTTCTTCGCATGGGGAAAATAATCTAAAGACAGATGAACAGTTTCTTTTTGTTACTCTCTCGACTTTTATTCTTTGTCGATTTCTGTAGTAATGAGTTCTCATTTGTCCCTTTCGTTTGTTACTTTATGTAGTAAATTCGTAAATTGATTTAGCTTGCGGACAAACTCATTATTTTTGTTAGTTTTGTTTTTGTTATTTTTTTGCGTCAAAATTAGTTTTGTTTTTGTTATTATTAATACCACTATGTATTCATTGGTTAAATGTTAATTAATTTATTTCATCTAAAAAACTAATTACTTTCTTACAACCTTATGTCCTTATCTATGAGATAGAAGTGAGAACGAATGCTCTATTGGATCATAAATCAACTAGAAACTTGATATCCAAGTAATATTGGGAACATCAAATGTGAAATGACAACATTTATTCCAGCCTCTCCAGTCTCCACTTCTGTTCATTTCCTTGTCGCTTTATTTAGTTGTTAGTTAGTGTGTTTAGTTTCGTTTAATTCATTTTCGCATTCCGCTATTAATCATCTTTGTAATCGCTGTCACAAACTCAAAATTGGAATAATTTTTAACATTCTACTGAAAAAATCTTTTAATCCAGCCCTAGGCTTCTCCTCGATTTGACATATATGCTTATGTTCTAAAAGATTATCATTTTGTATACAGTTTAACATTGGAGTTTTAGTTGACTGATTTTACTTTTAGACAACAAAATAAATCATAAAGAAGATTCTTAAAAAAAAAAAGTTCAAATAATCGCAGTCTGTTACATCTGGAAACTAATGATTAAAAATGTGAATCCATCATGAAACAAACCACAGTTAGAACTTAGAACTATCTCAAGACACAGTTTCTTTTCATTTTTTTTTTGGTTCTCAGATGAAAAGCAAGCATCACAAACTTATATGGTTTCTATGGAAAAAGAAAAAAAACAAATAATGATTAGTAAACTTCTGGACTAATTAGATTTCTTTGAGACTGGCGAAGACTTCTTGGTCAAGGCATCTAATTCTTTTTCTTGTTGCTTCTTGAGGTATCTCTGCGCAGTTGCAGTCACAATCTGGCCGAAGAAATTCAAAAGCATCAGCCACACGACTCCATTCCACACCGATGCAACTGAAAGATCCCATTTCTTGACCTGAGAACCAACACAACAATCATCCAAAAACACATCAAAATGCAGAATAATGCAAAACAGTAACTGCTTAAGTCAAAGAGAAGCAAGAATATATTACATTGATGTCAGAAGTTACTGGAGGTGAAGCAACCATATACTTCTCTTTCATTAAGCGGAGTTTTGCTGCGAGCGCAGGTAACGCAGAAGCAAAACCAGGCACAAAGCTTAATATATATATCAGCTCGTTCTCTATCCAGTCAAGAAGCTGATTGTTACAGACACATATAATGAAGACCGTCTGCAAAACCGCACGTTTTTGAGATCAACCCTGAGTGAATGTGATCAACAAAACATAAGTATTATGGAAACGCTTGCTAACCTGAATATGTGTTTTGATGATTGCCTTTCCAAGCAAAGTTGCAAGAAAAAACTCCCAAAATGGTTTCTCGAATTGTCCACACATGATTCCAGCAAGGTCGAATAATGGGTTAGGAACCTGAGTGTAAGGCATATTGCAACACGCGAATCATAAGTTTTCTGGAATCATAAGAAGCATTGATTTGTTCAGAAGGCATATCTAAAACATACCGAAGCAAGAACCAGGATAGTGAAGAAGTTGAGGTATTGTGAGTGTGACAATAACCAGCCTTTGATCTGACTTACGCGTCTACCAATGAATCCAGTACCGTCACCACCACATGTTTCCAGCTCTTCCATTTTGCCTCCGGAAAGACTTGCTGCAAAGAGCCAGAGTATTAGCATTTAGCAATCAATCTTGCTTTTTACAAAGATCAAGTAAGTTTTGAGTTTTTCACCTGCCCTTGAGATAAAGTAAGGAGGGAGTTCTCCTAACGCTGTTCCCAAACCCCAAAGGATGGCTTCTATCTGAACTTGAGGCAATATGCTGCTAAGAGGAACTCCTGAAGAAAAAACTGGTGGGCCAAACTCGTTGCAAGGTTTATCAAGCCACGAAGGGCTTCTCTTTAACTGGATCGTGTCATATATTGCAGTTTTTAAATCAACACGCCCGCATGTCATTGCTTTTATGGTGAACAAAGCAATGTGCGGACCCAAATAAAGAACAAACGTATGCAAACCAGATCCTGAAGTTCATCAATGAAAGAGATCAAGAAAAGTGTGTTAGTATTCATCCACACAATGAAAGAGCTCTCTATCAGCGTGAGAGAAGATCGACACAAACCGGAAAACAAGAAACAGATATAGAATGTGTTAAACATATTCTTACCAAGACCAATTGAGGATGCAACACCTAAGAAAATCCACCACAGCCCAAATCTAGCGTACTCAGAAAGTTCTTCAAGGTGCTGCACATGGAGAAAAAAAAAGGAATATTACCATTTGTTTCATCTTAAAAAAATGTGACTCAACAAAAGAAGCTAATGAGCTAATATTACATGACTTTTTATATGTTGTTGTTCCAAAATTTCAATAGAAGTAGATGTGCTTCAGCTATATGATTTATAGTATCTCATAGCAGAAGAGAGAAGACTTAACTAACCCCAACTCAGACTCAGAGTTCTATTATTTCCTTTTTCTAACCATTCCATTACCTAAAGCTACACACAGACAGAAAGAGTCTCAATCTATTTATACCTTGACGTGTGGGCCATCTAGGGTCACAAGCAGAGCTGAAACTGCCGCCAAAACGCTGATAAAGAGCACAAGCCAACCGTTCGCAAGAAGGTACGAGACAGATCTTCTAAGATAAAGAAAAACAGCAAAGACAAATAATCTAAAGGTCTTGAAAGGCTGCGAAGTCAATGTAAGTTTCTCTAGATCCTGTTGATGCTTTTCTCGCAAACCTGCCCAAAAAAATATAACATAGAGAGGCAAATTACTTATTAGTCAAACACACAACAAACTCATGAATCAATCAATCATACAGCGATTATCTCTGTCTAATTAAATCAATTGGATCAATCATCTACGAGTGCACACACAGATTCAAAATAGAAACTTTGACCCTAAAAAAGTTTTAAACTTTAGTCAATAAAGAGCTTACATCGTTTAAACAAACACTCAAAACTCACGAATCAATCAAACACCAATGATCTCTTCTAATCAATCAGATTCAATGTAGCAATTTTTAACCTAAAGGTACAAACTTTATGAAGGGTAACAAATAAGGGCACCTGAGATTGCAGGATTTGAAGAAGAAGCACGTTTTCCAGAACCCATCTTTGCAAATTTAATTGAGTTCTACTGCTCTGATTTTACCAATTATGACGATTGATAAGGAGATAATCACTGGGTAGGTCTCTTGAAATTGAATCGAAATCAATGTCGATCTCGATGTGAAAGTTTATGTCTTTTTTTTCTTTTTGTGTTTCCGATTAATCTCCTGTGTTTACGGCGTGCGACAAAAATCAGGTTCCAGTTTCGTTGGACGTGTTTTAGTTTTATAATCCAACCTCTCAACATGAAAAAATATTTAAAACCATTTAACGGGCCGATTGGGAATAGTTAATGGGCTTAATTTACGGCCCATTTGGGTCAACTTTTATGATCTTTGTTTTTTTAGTCAACTTGTTCTTGTTCTTCTTTCCTTTTGCGAATGTAATAACGTTTTCTTTGTCTTAAAAAATTCTAAACCCTTTTTGAGGAGTTTGTCAAATTAAACATCAGAGATTCCGCAGTGGTCTTTGTAAGAGAGCTGAGATGGAGGTTGAACTCAAAGCAATGCTCGATGATCTCAATGTTCTCGAGAAATCTCTCTCCGATTCGGCTCCGATCCACAAGGTGTTCGGCCTTTTTTTGGCTTCAGATCTCGTTTTATTAGTGGATTTTTTATTCCAAGTCCGTCTCTTTTGTGTCGCGTGGATACGTTTCAGTAATTATGTATTTGCAGTCTTATATTGATTTGCCTCTATTACGTTCATCTTTATAGGAATCTCGCGTTTCTTGTCAAATGTCAAAGCTTTTGTTGTTGCATTGCGTAAATGTCAAAGCTTTTGTTGTTGCATTGCTTATGTTTTCCTTAAGGTTTTGATATGCAAAAAGTATTATTTTGTTGGCTCTGCAGCTGCGATCACATGTTGAAAATTTAGTGGCTTTGTCTAAGTGTAACCCTCAACGGCGTTCCAAAGTCAAGGTATGATAATATTCTTCTAATTAAAGTTGACTATATAATATAATATAATCAAATGCAAAACGTTGTGATCTCAAGAGGACGGTCTATTGCAGGAATTGAGTTCGGAAGTGGTAGATAGTAATCCTTACAGTAGGCTTATGGCACTTCAGCGTATGGGTATTGTTGAGAACTATGAGAGAATTAGAGAGTTTTCAGTCGCCATTGTTGTATGTATCCATCTCTCTTTCTTTGTTTCCATGTTTTTCTCTCCATAAGTAGCTGAACACTTCAATCGACAGGGAATTGGTGGTGTTGGAAGTGTTGCTGCTGAAATGCTGACCAGATGTGGTATAGGTCGTCTTTTGTTGTATGACTATGACACTGTTGAACTTGCTAACATGAACAGACTCTTTTTCCGACCTGATCAGGTTTGAGTTCGAGTGTTACTATCTGTCTTCTCTTGTCAAGGACGTGATTCTAACCTCTGAGTAATGGTGACTTTAGGTTGGTATGACAAAGACTGATGCTGCTGTTCAGACGCTTGCTGAAATTAACCCTGACGTAGTACTTGAGGTTGGTTTTCTACTTTATCCTTTACTTCATGCCTGATGCTAGTTTATATCATGTTTGCTTGTTAATGAAAAGCATATGGATGTTTTCAACAGGTGTATTCGATTTGAATTATTTTCTTATTAAGTAGGAGGTCTTTGATGTATGATATTTCGTTTCTTTTGCCTCTTTCTGGATAGTTTAATTATTTCTGCTCTTTTCTACTGAGAACTATTACTTTAGCTGAAGTCATAATTTCCATTTTTTCTCCTAGAGTTTCACAATGAACATAACAACAGTGCAAGGCTTTGAAACCTTCACGTCGAGCTTGAAGAACAAGTCTTTTTGTCCCACCAAGGAGGGAAGTGGTGTGGATCTTGTTTTGAGCTGTGTTGATAATTATGAAGCAAGGATGGCTGTCAACCAGGTACCTTTGTAGTTTTTCATTTAGTTACATTCTTTGATTATGCCTGTGAGTGGAAAAGATGGAAAAATATTCTAAATCACCTTCTGATTTGAGTGTATCCTTTGATGTATAGGCATGCAATGAGTTAAGTCAGACTTGGATGGAGTCAGGTAAATAGTGTTGTTAAGCTTTTAATTGCATGTATCATTGGAAACAACCTATATGGACTTGCGTGTCTTCGTGGCTCTTATGCACAAATGTATTTTGTCATATTTTTTTCTTTGAGCTAACAAAGAATTCGATACTTTTTGCAGGTGTTTCTGAAGATGCCGTTTCAGGTCACATACAGCTTTTGGTTCCCGGAGAAACTGCTTGTTTTGCTTGTGCACCTCCTTTGGTATGTTATCTTTCTTCTTACATCGCTCATACAACTGCCTAAATGCTTGAGGAATGTTATAAAGTAGAATCTTAGTAACTTTAAGGATGCTGTGATTCAGTGTGTTGTTAATTCTACACTTGCATCTCCTCTAGATAATTTATTTATTTCTGTGATAGGTCGTGGCATCTGGAATTGATGAACGGACACTTAAGCGAGAAGGGGTCTGTGCTGCATCTCTGCCTACTACTATGGTAATCTTGACAAGTTATCATCTAGCAGCCAATGCTTTCTGTTTATCTAAGCTATGTATATATTGTTCAAGACTTACTTGATTGTCAATTCAGGGAGTCGTTGCGGGGCTTTTGGTTCAAAACTCTCTCAAGTTCTTACTAAACTTTGGTGAAGTTTCTCCATACTTGGTAGAAACTCTTGGCTTTCTTCAGCTCTTCTCACACAGAGAATCATTATCATATGAATCATTTGAAGTTTAATCGTTTTATTCCCCCTGCTACTTGACGCCACCAGGGTTACAATTCACTGAAGGATTTTTTCCCAACCATGCAAATGAGACCAAACCCACAATGCTCGAATGCAGCTTGTTTGGAACGGCAGGTAACTTGAAGTAAAATCAACTACATAACTCTCCATGTTCTAAGGTTTTAAAAATAAAATGGAAATCTTAAAAATGCAGAAAGAATATATGCTTGCAAAACCAGCAAGAGACGCTGCTGCCAAAGCTAAGATGGAAGCTGATGCGTTAACAGCTATTGAGGATGGTCCACTCCATGATGATAATTAATGGAACATAAGGTAATAACTACTCAGTCAAATTAGTTAACAGCCATATTTGCAACGAGACATCTGATGTGTATCTCATGTACCTTTTTATAGTGTTGTCGATGATGAAAACGAGAAGGATACCACAAAAGCTTCCTCAAGTTCAGGTACTTTCAACTTTCTTCAAGTCCTCTTCTTCTTCTTCGGATAATTATTTAATCGATATTGTGGTGTGTATAATAGATACATTGCCAGAAGGGCTTACTAGGGAGCTTCCAGTGGCAGATGAGTATGAGAAGGCAATAGCTATAGGTTCTGGGGAGGCAGAGGAGGAGGAAGAGGACGACCTTGAAGATCTGAAGAAACAGCTCGAAGCTCTTAATGCTGCTTGAAGGTCTTTATAGTTGAAAGAGGAGGCAAATGCAATTGTGTAAAAACAAAATAAGAGTGTTTAGTGTTTATCATAAATTGGATCTCATAGGCATATAAACTACTACCAAAGACATAAGTTATACAACTTCTATGATATTGAACAGTGTCTGTTATGTTTTCCTGTAAGAGAGGAAGAGAAGAAGTGGCCTTACTTGGCAAACATGAAAGGGTTGATAAAAAGGATGGTAAAATACAAAACACACAAGAAACCTTTCATACATTTATGAAAAAACAATGACACCATTGAAGAAACTCAATACTTTTTAGCAAGAATGATACCAGTAAAGACAGACACAACAGCCACTCTGAGGACAATCTTTAATGTCATGAGATCAGAAGTGATACAATTTTTTTTCAGAAACAGAAATAATAAAAAGGATGACAAAAACAAGAGCCATTGGCTTAAAAACAATCAAACACACCAAACCCCCCCACAACAAAAAAATCTTTCAAATTTAAAATCAGTGACACAAGTAAGAATCTTCAATACTTTTTTCCAAGGATGATACCTATAATGACAGACACAAGAGCCACTCCGAGAATAATCTTCAATGTCATGAGATCAGATGATTCAGCTTTCTGTGTTGTTGTAACGTTTCCTGAAGAAGAAGTAGAAGCATCAGACTCCTCCTTGCTCTTACGTTGCTTTGGAGTTGGAAAAGAGAAATCAATATCTCGAGACTTAACTTCTACTTCTCCTTTCCCCATAGTCTCAGTTTCCTGCAAGTTTGATTTATGAAGCTTCATTGCTTGCTCGTCCACCGAATCTTGGTCACTTGCCTTAAGTTCATGCTCATGCAGTTTTGAGGTCAGTTCTGCAACTTTTCCCACCTAACCAAAATAAACCAAGAAGATCCAAGCTAGTGTTAAGTAAGTATTCCTTAATGTTATCACTTTGTACTGAGTTATTGTTACCTCTTCTTTCAGCTGAGCTTCAGCGTTTTTCAATTGCTTTTCTACTTCATCAAACTTGGACTCCAACACTGACTTTTCAGAAGCCACAGAAGTGAGTTTCTTGATTTCTGATGCCATAGCATCCAATTTAGTCTTCTCTACTCCGATATGTTCTTGAATATTTATGAGCTCATTCTTTGTGCTCTGATATATCTCATTGACTTGGCTATTCTCTTCTGCAAGGGATTTAACCTAAAGCAGAAAGCAGTGTCAATATAATCATGAGATGGTTTTTACTAATACATGATTTTTTTAGATTATGTGAATGTTTGTATACCTGTGATCCTAATTTTTCTCTTTCAGAAGTAAGCTTGTTTGTTAATTTTTCCACAGCTGCCTTTGAAGCCTGAAGCTCCTTTGCTGTTTGGTCTTTCTCAGCTTCTAAAGCAGATAACATTGCTTGAAAACCACTGGTCTCTGACCCTTGATTGGCTAGCTCCTGGTTCAGCTTTAGATTCACTTCGGCTAAAGATCCATTTTCTTTCTCAAGATCTTTGATTGTATCTTCAAAAGTCTTGAGTTTCAGTAGAGCCTCTTCAAGATCCATTTTTCTAGTATCAGCAACTTCAGATACTTCTTGAACTTTCTTTTTATGTTCCTCAATTAGGTTTTCATGGGACTGTAACTTTGTAGCCAAGTCTTTAGCTTCTATGTCTCTCTGATCAAACCTCTCCTTCTCAGCATACAGAGAGCCTTCAAGTTCTTGAATCTTGATCTTGAGTTGATTGTTTGTATCTGATAGTAAATCATTCTCCAAGGATGATTGATAAAGATCTTCAGATGCTTCAGCCAACTTGTCTTCATATAATCTTATTCTCGCCTCCAGATGTTTAGTTTTCTCAGTTAATGACTTGGCCTCTGTATCTATGATATTGAGGTCCTTCATCGCCTTCTGAATGCTGAGATCTGAGTGTCTATGCAAATCTTTAATCTCTGTGCTTCTTTTGTTAGCTTCATCTACTTCTCTTGCTTGCTTCTCAAGTTCCCTCTCTTTCTTTTTGAGTTCTCCCCTTAGCTTTAGATTAATGCTTTCCTGTTCAAAGACTTTACCCTTAAGATCTTTAATAGCCAATAACTCTTCTTCAGACCGGGTTTCAGAAGTTTTATTCTTCTCAAGTTCCAGCTCCAGTGCTTTCACCTTTTCTTGCAATTCATATAGCTCTCTTTGTGAACTGCTTGAGCTTCTTTCAATAGGAACTTGCTTCTCTGGTTTCTCACCATCCTTAGTGTCAGTCCCTTCTTTTTCAACTTTTATGAATCCACCATCAAATGTTGTATCCTCCTCTTCTTTCTCAATTACTTTATCTTCCTTGGTCATTTCTCCCTTCACATCCTGTAATAAAACAGTCACAATACTTTATCTCCTATGAGAACTAGTTAAAAAAGGATTTAATTGATTCGATCCTATTCAAAGGCATGCTTAGAACTAAAATTGTTTTTGCCAGATCTTCAATCCTACTTAAATTAACATCAGTTTTCCTACGAGTTATAGTTATGATTGAGCTTTAATTAATTTACAATAGAATGAAAATAACAAACATTAAAATTTTGTAAAAACTTCATTATGAACGAACAGATCATTACCTTAACAGAAACGTCGACCGTCTTTACATCCTCAGGTGTACCTTTCACTACATGGACCTCGGAACTCATTTTTGTTTCTTTTTCCATCAAGCAGTTCCTATATACCTTTGTTTTGCAACCGATGCAAAATTAAGGCTTTGAAAATGATACTAATGAGTACATATTGGAATTCACCATTGTTTTATATGTTTTGTTTCTTGCATCAACAAGATATGTGATCAAGTTCACTTGAACATTCCAACCATAATATTTTCATCTTATAGGAAAAGAAATTCCTTACTAAAGAAAGAGAAACCAAAATATTTCAACCATTCATAAAATATATTATAACATATAATTGGTTAAATAGTGTCTCACTATAATATTCAAGTAAATGGGTGGACTTATTATTGACAACACCTTTTGAATGTTATAAAAAGAACAAAGGCTTGATACCAATTTAACCTTTGTTTAATTAAACATCTTACGATCATACACAATGATAAAGTAACCAAACTCCAAAACAAGTTTGCGACAAACTTACTTTTATTTGGTTGATCAAACCATTAAGATAAAGCCATAAACATATTCAACTGTGGATCATTGTTCTGTACCGTTTGATATCGACGCAATGATCACAATTCCGATGTACAAATTTTGGGGAAATGATAACATGTTAACAATAACTTTTATCAACCAATAAAGAAGGATTGCTAGGGAGGTATTATTAAATATTAATGAATAATCTTCTTATAGGCACTCGCCAAGATGTGGGTGTCAATATATAAAGTCAACTAACAAATAAAAGGCATGTTAAAGGCTCGCCAAATTAGTAGCTCTCTCTTTTAAATTGTGTATACAATAGTCCTTTGTTAAAATTGTAGTATTTTGGTAAGAAAAATATAGGAAAATAAATTTCAAATGAAAATATTAGCAGTACTTTAAAGATATTTAAAACAAATATAATTTGAAACAAAAACTAAATCCAAGTATGCAACTAAGATAAAGAATCACAAAACTATTTCAGTTAACATAATGATAAAAAAATGATAAGCAATGGCCACCAGATGAATAGTGATGGCACAAGTATACTAACTAAACAAGAAAAATAGTTCTCAAAATATATATGTACTAATAATTTATAAGTACTAAATTTCATTTAGAATTATTCTGTCAGTTTTGGTTAGTTAAACACAAACAAAGAATATCACATTATCACAGTTATAAATTAGAGACGTGGAAGATACTACTAACGTCTCATCAAATTGACAAATTCTCACTATATCAGGCTAAATCAGGCTTAAGACGATATAATCGAACAATATACGATGAATTAAGAAATTGTAATCATTAACATAGTTTTCTAAACGCTATCTTCTAAACGCTATCTATAGATAGATACATATCTTGAAAGTTGCAAGTAAAGCCTCATTCTTGAAAAAAATATCATCAAAAGAGTTGTCACGTTTAGTACTACGATCTAATCGTGTTTTTATAGAAAAATGAATCGGTAATAAAAGAATAATCCATGGTCAAATTTTAAAACAATTCACGACATAAAACATAATATGCATGACTCTGAATATTACTACTGGTACTACAAGAAGGTGATCCATCCATTGATCGATTGAAATCCTAACTATTATCGTTATCACTATCAGATATAGTTAGATTTTAAGACAATCTAAAACAGAAAGATGACTTGGACCTATCACCAAATCCAACAAAAAACAAAAGAAAATAAAGGTGGATTTGAGATGCTTACTTGAATCTGCTCAGTATGTTTTTCTTTTCCTGTTTTTTATTTGAACGTTTCAAGTTTTCTCGCAAATGGGGAAATGAAGACCAAGAGATGTCAATGGAAAATATGAAGACAAGTCTCTCTTTTAATTGTTTTAGAGTTCATAACGTGGACAGCAGAAATATAGGTCTCTCTTTGTATTTTTTGAAAGGCAACTTCAGCAGAAATAAGTGTCTAAATTCCTCTTCACGGTTCCACCCCTTATTTTGGTTTTCCCGGTTTGAGTTTGATATGATGGTCCAATTCTGATTTAAATGTTCATTGTTGATAATTGGTATAATTTTGTATCATAGACTTATCCTAGTTTTCATAAGGTTGAAGACTATACAGTCAAATAATTAATCAATAACTTTAAATGTGTACCCAACTTCCAATAATGAGTTATTGAAAATGAATATCTACAATTGAAGTTCTTCTGTCATTGGTATAACAACAAAATGTACCTGTATATGATTTATCCATCTAAATGATTATCTTAAAATATATGAATAATCCTTAGTTATAAACACTATATCTTAGCAATTCCTATATATTATAATCACTTTCATAGTTGAGTTAAGTTTATATATATATAAATATTTCTTTCTAATGTTTCTTGTAGAAGTTATGAGCATTTTTGGTTGGTCGATTGGGATATTGTTTAATATTATAAGAAAGCAAAGATTAGAAAAGGGTAATTTGCAAGGCATTCCAACAAATCCTTATACTTCATGCAATTTCATGTTTCTCTTTACTTTGTTCGTATAAATATATGTCTATTTTTTTGCATTCTCCTATTCATTAAGTTCCTTTTACCCATTTCCCTCTTCAAAAAAAAAACTACAAACCGAAAATTTTCCAAATACTTTTTTCTCCAAATATTATTTATTCCGAAAATATGAAATTTAGAACAATTTCATTACCTATATCTATAGGAATTGCCATAATGGCCATTTTAGCATCCAGAACTCTGTTTGATACACATCCTAGAGCCTTCATGCACAATCCTTTCGATGTTCTCCATACAATCAAAGATGTATCATATTCAGCTATTACTTCCGTTTACAGCCACCACCACCACCATCATCATCACCATCAAAAACCATCTGATACCAAAAAGAAAGTATCAATATGCGACGATTTCCCCAAAAATATACCTCCACCGGACACCGACACGACATCATATCTCTGCGTCGATAAGAAAGGCTGCTGCAACTTCACGACCGTGCAATCAGCCGTGGACGCAATTGAAAATTTTAGTCAGAAAAGAAACGTGATATGGATCAACTCCGGCATGTACTAGTATGTTTTCGTGATAACCATTTATTTTTTGCTTGCAAGTTCGGTGTTACAATAACCATATCTAATTATTAAATTTTATATACACGTAAAGTAAATAAAATATACCAATTTTGTTGCAGTGAAAAAGTGGTGATTCCGAAGACTAAACCAAATATAACTTTGCAAGGACAAGGGTTCGAGACCACAGCCATAGCATGGAACGATACGGCCTACTCGGCTAACGGCACTTTTTATTGTGCCACGGTCCAAGTCTTTGGTTCTCAGTTCGTCGCTAAGAACATTAGTTTCATGGTAACTTTTATTGTTAATAAACATAAATTAAAATAGAAAATAGATTATGAAAATCAAAATCCATTTTGTTCGATCAAATACGGTTTTGTTTCTTTTTTTCTTATGTAATCAACCTTTAGTTTGAAAATTCTTTCGTTTCAATATTTTTTTTTTGATAACAGAATGTGGCTCCAATACCAAAGCCTGGGGACGTAGGAGCTCAGGCGGTGGCGATAAGAATTGGGGGAGATCAATCTGCATTTTTGGGATGTGGTTTCTTTGGAGCTCAAGACACTCTTCATGACGATAGAGGTCGTCACTACTTCAAGGATTGCTACATTCAAGGCTCCATTGATTTCATTTTCGGCAACGCTAAATCTCTCTATCAGGTACGTATATATTTACATTCTCAGTATCTCACCATGTATTTTGGAAAGGATACTTAGATATTTAGATTATTTGTTATAGAGTTACATTATCATAAACAATTACTATAGAAGCCAAAATAACTTATTTGTTATATTAAGTTCAAGTTAAGATTAGGCTTGGTTATATAATAAGTTTTTCCCTAGTAGGACTGTCAAATAATATCAATGGCGAACCAAGTGAGCCCAGGATCAAAGGCAGTCAACGGAGCCGTGACTGCTAATGGCCGTAACTCAAAGGACGAGAACAGTGGCTTCGCCTTCGTCAACTGCACAATAGGTGGCACTGGACATGTGTGGCTAGGTCGTGCATGGAGACCATACTCACGTGTCATCTTTGTTTCTACTTATATGACCGATGTCATTGCACCCGAAGGCTGGAATAACTTCAATGATCCCTCTAGGGATGCGTAAGCACACACACATACTAAACATGCTTACCAAGGTTGATTTATTAAGAATAATCCTAAGAGACATGTTTAAATTTGCTTGTGTGGTTAGGACAATATTTTATGGAGAGTATAACTGTTCGGGTCCAGGAGCTGATGTTTCGAAAAGGGCACCGTATGTTCAGAAGCTTAACGATACTCAAATCGCTCAGTTCATTAACACGACTTTTATTGATGGAGACCAGTGGTTACAGTTCTCTGATCTTTAGAGAAAATCATAATCTCTAACTCTATTGTTGATAACAAGTACAGTAACATATTGTGTTTACGAGACTGGAATAAAAATGCGAAATGAGTTGTACATGTAAACTTGTTGAACATAGTAATTTATTGGAAAATTTAACTTGCGTAGACATTAATTAACAGTTTTACAATCTAATTATGGAGTTCATAACTAAAAGGTAAGATTCTGCTGCTTAACCAAGACTGGTTAATTAAAATCTATGTAAACGTTAATCGGACCGGCCGGTTCGGTTCAATTTAAAAAAGATTAATTGCAATTGCATCTTCTTCACATTCGCATATTCCTCGGGAAAATGCTGCTTAAGAGAATAAAGAGGAACACACTCGCACCGTTGTGAATTTTGCAACCTATCGGAAGTTATGAGTAACGTCTCCGGAGATCGCAACGGAGACGAACGTTCAACCGCCGTAACTAACTCCGTCACGGAGAATTCGCCTCCGATCCGTGTCTACGCAGATGGGATCTACGATCTGTTCCACTTCGGTCACGCTCGATCTCTCGAACAAGCTAAGAAATCGTTAGTACTTGTTATCTCTTCAGCGAATAGTTCCTAATTATTCAATCTCGAGATCGATTTGTTTAGCTGATTCAGTATGTTTGTTTGTGGTTTATGGAGCCATGGTGATAGTATCTTAGTGTTGATTGTGTGAGTTTAGTAAATATATGTGATGGCATGGGGAATTGATTTTGATGGCTCTTCAAGTCTCCCTTGTAGGTAGATTCGTTTTAGGTATCTCTCAGGCGAATGTTTCCTCATTGCTCAGTCTTTGATTCGATTTTTTTTAGCTGTTTGAGTGTGTTTAGGAGTCATATTGATAGTATTCTCGCGCAATTAGAATATATTAGTGTTGATTCTGTGAGTGTAGTCAAGATATTGTGATGGCATACGGCATTGATTTTTGATGACTCTTCAAGTCTTCACAAGGAAGATTCGTTTCGTGTTCTTATATTGTGATGGTATTGGCCAAGCAGGTTTCCAAACACTTACCTTCTTGTGGGATGCTGTAATGACGAGACTACTCACAAGTATAAGGGAAAGACTGTTATGAATGATCAAGAGCGATATGAATCTCTTCGACATTGCAAGTAAATACTCTTTACCCCACTGATGTTTGCTTGTGTTAGTGCTAGTGATGGCGATGGTTGATTAGTTTAGTCTTGCAGATGGGTTGATGAAGTTATCCCCGATGCACCATGGGTGATCAACCAAGAGTTTCTTGATAAGCACCGGATTGCCTATGTTGCCCATGATGCTCTTCCGTAAGCAAACTATATATCACTTGTCATGTTAAAAAAATAAGGACTTTAGTATTGAGATAGTGAAGTTTGTTTCAAATTATCAGCTTTATTTTCACCGTCGACTAATACAGGTTATTCACAGGTATGCTGATGCCAGTGGAGCTGGAAAAGATGTCTATGAATTCGTGAGTCTTAGTACTTTTTATTCTGTTTTCCGTTATCTGTTAAGACTGTGATAGTTAATCTATGTTTGTAACTGAGTTTTCATTGCAGGTCAAAAAAGTTGGGAGGTTCAAGGAGACTAAGCGAACTGAAGGGATATCTACTTCGGATATAATAATGAGGATAGTGAAAGATTATAACCAGTATGTCATGCGTAACCTTGACAGGGGATACTCAAGGGAGGATCTTGGAGTTAGCTTTGTCAAAGTATTGACATCATTTCTAGACCTTTTTCATCTTGTTGTTCTGAAAAGTTTCCTACGAAGGAGTAAACTTTGGATGTGCTGACTTGAAACAGGAAAAGAGACTTAGAGTTAATATGAGGTTGAAGAAACTTCAGGAGAAGGTCAAAGAACAACAAGAGAAAGTTGGGGAAAAGGTACATATTTTCTTGCATTTCCTTTTTATGTTGATCATCATGAATCCTTTGTTTTGAGTGTTAAAGGTTATGTAGTTATATCTTAGTTCTTGAGACACTATGCAATCAAAATTGGTTCCATTTAAAATGCATGAAGAGTAAGATATGTCCTTTCTCAACCGATACTAGTCTTTCCCCTTGAACTTTTGCAAAACGGCTGTAGGAAAAATATTGAATTGCGAGTTTAAGCTTTGGAGAAATATTACGGTGTCTTAAACAATTGTGTGAATCCAAAAAGCTATGACCATCATATCACCTTTGTGTTATTAAAACTAAAAGCTCATCCACTTCAGTTTCTGGTTCAGTAGGCATCCTTCTACTATTTGAGATGAGTTTGTTGTCAGGATTCTTCTGTTAGATTATGGCAACAAGATCTCTAATTATTCCGATATCAAATTTTAATGATATGGTTAACTCCACATAGATTTATTAGCCTCTAATCTATGAAACTCGTTCTAATTCTTGCAGATCCAAACTGTGAAAATGCTGCGTAATGAGTGGGTGGAGAATGCAGATCGTTGGGTAGCTGGATTCCTTGAAATGTTTGAAGAAGGCTGCCATAAGATGGTAAGTTAGCAAACCTAATAAAATCTCATTTTTCGTGACATCAGGCTAATGTGTCATAAAACAATGCCTTTGTGTACATATTAGGGAACTGCCATCAGAGACCGAATCCAAGAGAAGTTACTGAGACAAGAGTCCAAAGAGTTGCTCGAGAAGGGTCAAAACGGTCAGCATAAAGACACAGAGGAACAGTTCTATGAAGAATATTTCGAGCATGACATTGTTGACAGCTGTGAAGACAATGAAGACGATGAAGAAGAGTACTATGACGAGATTGAAGAGCATAGTAGTGCCTCAAAAGCGATAAAAAGTAACTAGAGGAACAAAAGTTTATGCTGTTTTAGTGCCTATTGTTCACTACTTTCGCAGTAAAATGCTTATCAAATGACTTATTAGTTAGCTACAAGAGTTTAGAAAACGTTTGTGTGATTTTTTTTTATACACGTAATCCTTTTGTTGCTGCCCCTTTTTATTAGATTTTTTTTATAATTTAGTTTAAACCATGCATTGTTTTAATATTTTTTGTTTGGTTTAAATTTATTACCTTATAACATTAGATGTTCTAATTCGTGATTTCAGTAAGTGACGTCTCTGATTAGGTATGATAAAATGACAATTTCAAAAGATGCTATTTTCTAACGTGATATATACGTCAATATTTTTCTCGACTTTGGTATAACATGGATAATTTAGACCCAAAAAACCATAACTTTTGAAATATAATCCTGTTTAATGTATATTTAGATTCAAAAGCTAAGATCCTTACAACAAATCTTATTCTAAAGTTGAAAAAATCGAAAACAAACGGAATATCCCGATCTACATGCATATCCACATTTAGCACGTGCTAATTCACTTAGTACGATCCTGCGCTCGTTTACTATAAATTAAGAGAACACATGAGCTTGGAAAAGCAGAAGCCTATTACGTATGTTTTGTCTATATCACAATCTGAAAATCTCATCAGATTTATAAATTTTGTTTGTTCGTTCGTTTTTTTTTTCTTTTCTTTTGTTTTTTTGAAAAATGCATATAATGAGTTCACCAATGTGCGACCATTGCAATATGGGAAAAGCCATTGTTTTTTGTAAGACACATTTGGCTAGGGTTTGTTCTCAATGTGACCGGAAGTTTCACCACTATGTGACTATGGATAGTCCCGATCACTCGCGGCTTCTGCTGTGCGAGAAATGCGTTTTGCAGGCCGCAGATGCCCAGTGCCTTGAGAAAGGATTGTGCCTATGCCAAACGTGCGTTCCAAACGCCAACGTCTCCTCACGTTTTCATTTTTTTAACGTTTCTAATAATCATTCTGATTATAGTTTTCCACGAGATCTCGATCTTGATTCTTTTTCCTCCTCTTCTTCATATTCTTTCATTCATGATCACAATTTGGGGTTTCCCTTTGTTCCACTACCTCCCAAAAATGGGGACTCATCATCCTCTTCTTCTATTATTTTTCAAAATTTTGACAATTATACAAAGAATACTAGTGATCAACGAGTGCAAATGCTTCAGCCCGATGATATGGACAATTCTAAGGTATATTCTTATGGTTAGTTTAGATGGGAGTGAGAATTTATTATTACTATAGAACTCAAACCCTGCTTTGAAAGTTCCCCTTGACGATAAATTTATGTTCTTATCTTGATGTGTCACTCTACGCAGGGTTATTCATATTCAGGCATGGAAAGTTACAAAACTAAAGATATAGAGAATGTCTGCCACAACACTTTTGATGAAGACAAGGCAGTAATAGACCAAAAAGAGTATTTCTCCGGGGAAGAATTGATCCTGACCGATCATCTTATTGATGAAATAATGAAGTACAATGCTGAAACCAATACAGAGGTATTTAACAACAATTAGTTTAAATATGTCGCATATTGATCATGTTTTTTGATTAGTTATCTTTCTTGACAATTTTTTGGGTTAAAGATTATGTCAGGTTCATCATCGGTTATATATAAAGATTACAACATTGAAGCGTTGGTTAATGCAAGTTGTGAAGATTACAACACGAATCAAATGATTGGATCAAAGACAAAGGAAGAGACCGATAATAATGTTGGAATATTCCATAACGCTCATATTCATGATGAGTGTCGACCATCGCAGTTGATTCTGACGGATGTCGATGAGATGCTACCATGGGACGATCAATTACTTGGATCTCCTATATACACACCGCAGAATCGATTAGAGGCAAAGAAGAGATATCTCGAAAAGAAAAAGAAACGCAAGTAGGGTTTTTTTTGGGATAAATTAGGCACTATTTGATTATCGTATCTCATGAAATATATTGCATTTAACCTATAGATAGTACCAAGAAAGATTATACGTACAATCTTAAGGTTATAATGAAGAATGCATGCAGGTTTGGGAAGAAAATTAGATATGAATCTCGAAAGTCTTCAGCTGATACGAAGAAACGACTCAAAGGAAGATTTACAAAAGCTGATGCAGAATATGATTATGAC